TTTGTTGCGGGACGCCTCAGGTAGAGCAGCTGGGGTGCTGCCGGGTTGGTCCTGTGGGAACCTACCGGGCAGCGCCCCAGCTGTTCTGTCCCAGGCTCCAGATTCAGCAGCTGTTGAAACTGATCAGGCTGATTGCAGGAAGCTGGGGACAGAGCAACTCTGCCTCTGGCTTCCTGTAGTCAGCCCCTGGTCAGTTTCAGTGGCAGCAGCTGAATCTGGAGCCAGTTCCGACTTACATACAAATTCAACTTAAGAACAAACCTATAGTCCCTATCTTGTACGTAACCCGGGGACTGCCTGTACTCTGATCAGTGAGCTTGAACACTTAGGGGAAAAAATATCTAAAAATGCTTCCTCTCCATTAGATGTTATTTTGGAACTACCCCGTACCTAGTGAAGTGGTTTGGCCAGCAGTAACAATATTTGTAAAACATTTCCATTTCAATCATATTTCTGTCCAGAACAATTTATCCAGTGGCACACACCTATAATAGGTTAAGCCAAACATGTCAAGCCATAACTGTGCATTATTTCCAGGTCTTGAGATGGCATGGATCCAGAGACCTCCAGAAAAGGCTGTGAGTGGGGAGTTCTTCAATGTAACCTATGCAGTCTTTGCTTCAGATCACTTTTACCACTATGCTGTGCAAAACGGGATCCTCTCTCACAGGTACTGCCTCTGCTGGAGGCTTTCCCAGTTCTCAGTGCAATGTTGTGAGCTGTGTATTCCTTTATATGCAGGTATTTTCAGTTCGACGACAGGCACAGGCTCTAGGAGCTCTTTAGCAATTGCCCCATTAAACAGGACATTGCTACAACACATATTTTTAAGTCTCGTGAACTCAGACTTTAAGATCAAAAAGGACCATCATGATCATCTAGTCTGACTTCATTGCAGGCCATTGAACTTCACCTACCCACTCCTGTGTTAGACCCATGACCTCTGGCTGAGTTACTGAAGTCCTCAAATGATGTCTCAAAGACTTTAGTGATGGTTTGTAATAGTAATGGCAAAACTTTTCTTACGTTTTCCCCAAAATATATATAGCAACAGTGTCATAGCAATAGTTTATAGCGTTGTGATGACAGCCATAAAATAAACTTTCTTCAGTAGCTAGCAGTAAAATTATTGCTACTGTCTTTCCAGTGGAACTTGTTCCCTTGAATCAGAACTGGAGAGCACCTTGAGAGGCCATGTAGTCCTGCATCCTGCACTCATGGTGTGGCCTACCACATCCCTGGCAAGTTTGTTGAACTTGCTCTTAAAAATCTCCAGAGATGGAGATTCCACAATCTTCCTAGACAATTTATTCTAGTGCTTAATCACCCTGACAGGAAGTTTTTCCTAATGGCGAAACTAAACCTCCCTTGCTGCAATTTATGCCCATTGCCTCTTGTCCTATACTCAGAGGTTAAGAAGAACAATTTTTCTCCCTCGTCCTTGAAACGCCTTCCTGTACTTGAAACTGTTATATTCTGCCTTATTCTTCTCTTTTCCAGACTACATACACCTAATTTCTTTCCTCATAGATCATGTTTTTCTAGACAGTCATTTCTGTTGCTCTTCTCTGGACCTTCTCCAAATTTTTCCTGAATTGTGGCATCCAGAATTGGGCACAATACTCCCACTGAGGCCTACACAGCATAAAACAAAAGAATTACTTTTTGTCTTACATACAATACTCCTGCTCATACATCCCAGAATGTTTGGGGTTTTTGCAACAGAATCACAATGAGATTTTGCAACAGACACATACTTAGATTGTGGTCCACTATGATCCCCAGATCCCTTTCCATAGTACTCCTTTATAGGTAGTCACTTCCCATTTTGTATGTGTGAAATTGATTGCTCCTTCCTAAGTATAGTATTTGGCATTAGTACATATTGAATTTCCCCCTATTTACTTCAGATTGTTTGTCCAGATAACTTTGAATTATAATGCTATCATCCAAGGCACTTGCAACTCGGATGCAAACCCAGTTTGGCATTGTCCCCAAATGATGTAAGCGTACTCTCTATGCCATTATCTAAATCATTGATGAAGATATTGAACAGAACCCGACCCAGAACTGCTCCCTGCGGGTCCCACTTGTTATGCTCTTCCAACAGAACTATGATCTATTGGTAACTACTCTCTGAGAATGGTTATTCAATCAGCTATGCTCCCACCGTATAGTAGCCCCATCTAAGTTATATTTCCCTCATTTGTAAATGATTTAGAATGCTTGAGAATCTACCCCGGAATGCATTGGTAATACACATAGAGATCAAACACGCAAGGGAGGACTCTAAGGCCCCAGTCCAACAAGATGCTTAAATATGTGCCTCTCTGACTACGTCTAGACTGCACTGTTAAATTAGAAAAAGAAACGCAATTTGTGGTATGCAACTTGCATATCTTTTTTTGATTTACTTTTGAAAGAGGATCTTTCAAAATTTGGTGCATCTATAAGGTGCCAAATTGCAAAAGAAAAAGCTCTTTTGAGCCATCCCTTATTCCTTGTAGAATGAGGTTTACAGAGATGGCAAAAGAGCGTGTCTGTTCTTTCGACTTTTTTTTTAAAAGTGGACGTGGTGTTGCTATTTCGGGATACTGGCAGTATTCCGAAAAAGCAATGCAGCCTAGACATAGCCTTTTAGGGTATGTCTACGCTAGCTCGTTAGTTCAAGCTAGGTAGGCAAATGAAGGCAACTGGAGTTGCAAATGAAGCCCGGGATTTAAATATCCCAGGCTTCATTTCCATGTTCCCCGGCGCTGCCATTTTTAAATCCCCCTTAGTCCGAAGTAACTGCCCGCGGCTAGACACAGCAGTTAAATGTTAATTCAAACTAAGTCCTTAGTTCAAATTAACTGTTACACCTTGTGGAATGAGGAGTAACAGTTAATTTGAACTAAAGAGTTAGTTCGAATTAACGTTTAACTGCCGCGTCTAGCCGCAGGCAGTTAGTTCAGACTAAGGGGGATTTAAAAATGGCGGCGCCCGAGAACATGGAAATGAAGCCTGGGATATTTAAATCCCGGGCTTCATTCGCAACTCTGGTTGCCCTCATTTGCCTACCTAGCTCACACTAATGAGCTAGTGTAGACATACCCTAAGTTCCAGTAGCTTCAGTGGAATGCTGCCTTGTTTAAAGTGCCTAATCCCATGTCCATTGTAATTGACAGGAGCCATTCAATCTACTTCCCAGGTCTTTAGATTGGTTCCAGAATGAGGCACATACTTGCGTGCTTTTGCTGAAGGAAGATCTTAGTGTTCAGGGGTAATATGTTAAAAAAATGCCCAAGGGCCAGATTTTCATAGATATTTAGGTTCCTGAAGATGCAAATAGGTGGCCAGTGGGATTTTTAAAAGTGCCTAAGCAGGTCTGGTGTCTAACTCCAAGTTAGGTTACCTATAAGTCAAGGTGAGTTAGGGGCCTCTCCTGCTTAGGCACTTTTAAAAATCCCACTGGCCACCTATTTGCATCTTTAGGTGCCTAAACTCCTTTTTAAATCTGTCCGGAAGGCACTCTTGAAAAATTCACTCTAGGTCAACCTTAACCCTCTCCCTTTAAAATGTAACAAAAAACAGGACTGTGTAGCACTTTAAAGACTAACAAGATGGTTTAATAGGTGATGAGCTTTCGTGGGCCGAAAGCTCATCACCTATTAAACCATCTTGTTAGTCTTTAAAGTGCTACACAGTCCTGTTTTTTGTTTCAGCTACACCAGACTAACACGGCTACATTTCTACCACTCTTAAAATGTATTCTCCTTTTATTATACTACAACTTACTTGTCAGTCAATACATTTTGCAATAAGATAAAAACTGTTTTTCCTAGAGCTTTGAATTTAGTATTAGTGCACTAGTTTTTAGATTTTAAGTCTCAGTCGTGTCAACAGAGTAAGCCACATTTGAAAGAAAAACATGTTAAATTATTTTGAAGTAAAGAATGTTTAAAGTGGAGTGTCCAGTTCAGAGATAATCATTCATTTGTGATGGAGCACTGACTGTGAGTAGAGATGGGCAAATGAGACGAGGAAAATGTTTTTTATAAGTATTTCTTTTTTGTATGTGTTTTTTGAAACTTTTATATGTCTCAAAAAGTGTTCCAAATCAGTTCCCAGATCAGTTTTCAAAGTCCACTTCTAGTTCAAAATGACTTGATATCACAATTTCACACATTAGAAATGTTACACACACATGCCACAGCAGTTATCCTTGGCTAATTTGGTTGGTGGAGCAAAGACAGAAGGGGTCTGAGTGACCACAAGTAAACATGCACATTTTATACCTGTATCAATGTAGATACAATAAGATGAAGATGGAAGTAGCCAGGGATGTAGTCACACTCATTTCATCATCAGAAGGTGTATGAGAAATTGCATGTTATTATGCAGCCAGGATCCCCTATCAGGTGATACTGTGAGGGTGAAGGGCCAGGTTGCTGGTAGCTGCTGGAGGAGTAAGAGCTGCCCGACCTTTCCTGCTAGGGATCAGATGATGGCCCAGTTGACAACTATGATTCATCCCTGAGGGACTACTTCCACACACAGTAAAACAATATAAAAGAAATAGCAGAGCATTTTTCTGCTGTCTATACCATTCTATGCCCGTTAAAACAAATTTGAAATGAGAAATGAATATAAAATCATCTCTTTGTATTTAAAAAAATGGCTAGTAATGCTGCTGCAGCAAAGAAGTTCTGCGAAGACCAAGAGTGCCCTTCCAACTGGAAAGATGCAAATGGAGAGAACTGCTGTGTCCATCACGCCAACATCCACTCCTGCCCTTTGGCCTTTATGGTTAGTACCAGGGGTGCGGCTGTTCTGTGTGCCAGAGGAGACATTGTAATAGACAGGGTCAAGATACTGAAAAGTGGGTGTGTAAAATTAGGGCTCTAAATCCATATTAAGGCATGATCCAAAGTTCATGGAAGCCAATAAAGGACTATGACGGATTTTAGCAGGCTTTGCAGTTGGCTCATTGAGACCAAAACAAAAGAAATTCTGAGAATCCAGAAGGTTTCTCAGTGACCCTGCTGGATTGGGCTCTATATGAACTGGTTTTATCATATTTGATCTAGGTAGAAAGAACGTTCAAAGGCCAGACTTTACGTGGCAAGCAGCATCTAATCCCTTTCTTCTGGACTCTCTTAGAGGAAAATCCTACTTCACTGAGGTCAATGGGCCTCTTCATGCTAAATTGTAGAGGATCTGTTCTGTATTTTGAGCACATAAATTAAAACTGCGACTCCAGAATTTTAGGACAGTTTCATCCAGGAGTGTTTACAGAGGGCCAATTTGTACTCCTAAGAGCAGATTAGACAGGAAGGTCTACAAGATTCCCCTCGCTGAGTTTTTTCATGTATTCTTTCAACGGGAGAGAATGCTTCACAGAGGAAAGCACATGTCTAGCCCATAAATCATGCTCATTTCACCTGGCTGCATCCACGTCCCTATGCCTCTACAGCAGCTGTGGCCCAGCCCCTTGCCAGTATAGCTCTATTGGAACCACTCTGCTAGGGATTCCCCAGGCTACAGCTGACCTCAGAATTTCCCCTGGAAGGAAGGGAACTACAGAAATATCATCTAGGCTGTAACTATGTAACCTTTTGGCTGGGATCTCCACTGGCACTGCCAAGCACAATATGCATCCCGCTGGCATGCCTTCTGCTCCCTCAGTGTGCCCACTGGCTGACACCTCCCTCCAGTTCACTCCAATGTCCACACATGCCACCCTCCATGGGGACAGAGAGGATACACTGGTGTGGAGGGTTTCTGCCCCAAAATCCTTGTGGGCAGCCAGAAATCTGGGAGTGATACTGGCACAAAGGCACCATCTGCCTCTTTCTTTTAAAAGTTGGAAATACTTTTGAGCAAGGCAAGCCTCTTTAAACTAGCCCCCATATAGCAGAAGTGCTGCAGGAAAGTGGGTTTGATATAATGAATGGAGAGTTACAAAGAAAGCGCTTTCCATACAGCAGGAACTGTCAATATGGTGTTATCTTTTTGGATAGATTTGACCTCAGCTAGCATGAGCAACCCATTTCTTTTTTGTGCACCGTATTCTAAAGTGCATTAAGAGAAATGCCTGAATAAATATCTGAAATTTAGCAATGAGGACTAAGCCATTTTAAAATCCATGATCTTCAGACAACCATTATAATCCTTCATGGCTGCAGCTGCTGGGAAATTAAAGTCTATGTAATCTTATTGAGAAATGCTCTGAAAATAGGCACTTTCATGAAAGAAAACAGAGTTCCCACATATCAAGTAGAGCTGCAGTGATTCCCAAATACAACATTGTGAGCAAAATTCTTTTAGTCACAGTGAAGTAAATACATAATAACTTCATTAGCTTCAATAGAGTCACTCCAGGTTTGGGTGCCTTAATGAGATGAGGACAGAATATGGCTCAAGGACTCTAAGGATATGTCTACACTGTGGTGCTATATCAGGATACTTCTGATATCCCAAAATAGCTATTCCGCATCTTTTAAGCAAGCCCGTTATTTTGAAATATAACGGGCTCACTATTCCAACATCCCTGTAAATCTCAATAATGGTTTATTTTGAAATTTGGCACATCGCCAAATTACAAAATAAACTATTTCAAAATTAACTTGAAATAAGTTATGCAATTTGCATGGCTCAAATTGCATAGCTTATTTCAAGCTAAGGGTGCAGTGTAGACACACCCTAAGTGAGAGAGAGTTTTGTGGAATTTTAAACTGGACTCTCAGTCTATGTGCTCCCTTCCATTTGCTTGTGCTTTATTTGAGCACACAAAAGTGTAATTTGTGGCTGAGCATCACACTGTGGGAATTGTCATAATGAATAATACTTTGCTACTTACTGGAATAAAGCACAAGGCCCCACAAGAGTACTAAATTTAAGAGTACTGAGGCTTGGAATTTTCCTTGTCTTATTATCTATTGAAATAACTGATCTGTTTGATAAAGGGGAAAGGTGGAATATGCGGTCCGTGGATTCCAGATGATGGCCAAATATTTACTCACACCTTATCTACAGCTGGCAAAATGAGTCAGACAAATTGGACTGCCAAGGTATAATACATGTATAGTATACTATGCTCTAGATCTTTTTACTAGCAATCCTCACATTTCATTCAGAGTTATGTGCATATAAAGCAGGGGTGGGCAAATTACCATATCTGATCTGCCAAGGTAAGCTCCTGGCAGGCCCCCATCACTATATTTACTTGCACTATGACAGGTACCAGTGATCTCAGCTCCCATTGGCTGTGGATTGCCGTCCTGGCCAATGGGAGCTGTGGGAGGTGGTGTCCTAGTACACGCCACTTCCTACCACTTCCATTGGCCAGGAACAGTGATCCACAGCCAATGGAAACTGCAATCACTAGTACCTATTGCTATAGTGGCACACCAAGGGCTAATCCTGGCAAACCACCGCCATGTTATTGCCTGCCCCTGGTATAAAGGCTGCAGGTGGACTAAGGTGCTGAATGTTTTCAGCTCCCACCTGCCTTTACGGGGAATTGAATGTACCTAGAAACTTGGAGAAGCCAGTCCTCTGGAGGCTTCTGTTCCTCTCACTTCATGAGGGTTACCAACATGTACCAAAAATATTTATGGAAATCACTGAAGCTATCTGCACCCCACGAGCCTTGGAAGAATCCTAACTTTGCCTCTCACAAAGGCACAGCAGCAGTGTTGGGTGGAGTTGCAGACTCCCTCATGGAGAGACAGATATCTTGAGTGGCCATTTAGTACCCATTCTTGTAGCAGTGTCTAATGAGGTTTAGCTATAATTGATCATACTGCCTCAAGGGATGATGGTAAGATTATGAGACCTTCATCAACTGGAAATAGGAAGAAAGTGAAATAATAAATCTAGGAGAAAGGAGATTAGATTATGGGTACTGAAAAAGCCCAATGTATGAACATTTAAAGCAATGGCTGTTTGTTCGGCAGGTGGTTTTGGTTCATGTGGGTGTGACGTCTCTCATCGCACACATCAGAGTTGGGAAAATGCAAGTTGCTCTGGAAGCGAAAACCACTGTGCTACCAGCAGTAGGTATGATATGAAATAAATACATCTCTTACTTTAAATAGGAATTAGCTAGCCCTTCTTGGTATAGTGATAGACTAGACCAACAAAAGCACTCATAGCCTCTTTGCAAGAAAATGTATCCCATCAAGTATTTCCACAATTCTTTTTCAAGTTACTTGAAATCTCTGCAATATTTCCAGTTTCTCTTTGCCCATGTAGGACGTGAGATCTGTAAAAGGCTGTACTTGGTCAAACAGCTGAAACCAAATATCAGAACCAGCAGCTTCAGGCATTACAAGGCTTGTTGTGATACTATAGGGATGTGAAACCGTTCTACCTTGTGGTCTCTTTCCATCATATGGACATTCATCATCAGACTAGCCTAAGGTATGACAGCAAACGTTCAAAGACAAATGATCCTTGAGCTTGACACTTCTGTTCATATAAACCTCAGAAACACTGCCCAATGCAATGTTCTAGTATTCATGTTCATGTTAGGCATACAGGGTACGTCTAAACTACAATGCTATTTCGGGATACTGGAGTATCCCAAAATAGCTACTCCATGTCTTCACAGCAAGCCCATTATTTTGGGCTTGATCTTATGACATCTCTGTAAACCTCATTCTACGAGGAGTAAGGGACATTTTGGAATAGTGCTTTATTTTGAAATTTGGTGCTCTGTAGACAGAGCCAAATGACAAAATAAACTATTCAAAATAGCATTGAAAAAAGATATGCAATATGCATAGCTCAAATTATGAATCTTAGGGAATGTATACACTAGCCACCCTAGTTTAAACTAGGGTGGCTAATGTAGTCATTCGAACTTGCAAATGAAGCCTGGGATTAAAATATCCCGGGCTTTATTTGCATGTTCCCAGGCACCGCCATTTTTAGATGCCCGGTAGTTCGGACTCCCTGTCCACGGCTACACACGGCATGGGCTAGGTAGTTCGAACTAAAGCCCCTAATTCGAACTACTGTTACTCCTTCATTTGCAAGTTTGAATGACTACATTAGTCACCCCAGTTCGAACTAGTGTAGACATACCCTTATTTCTACTTACGGTGCTGTGTAGATGCACCCTCAAAGACCTACAGAATTATTACCAAGGCAGAATTATCATCAATTTTTTTCCAAACCATTTTAGATCAATAGGAGATCTGTGCTTTCATTCAGCTCAGCGATACTAAGCTGACTCTGAAATATAGCACTCTCACAGTGAAGAGCTGTAAATGAAAGACAGCTCACATTGGAAACAATGGGAGTTTTGCCATTGACTTTCACTCTAAGGGTATGTCTACACTACCACCCTAGTTCGAACTAGGATGGTTAATGTAGTCATTCGAAGTTGCAAATGAAGCCCAGGATTTAAATATCCCGGGCTTCATTTGCATCTTGCCGGGCGCCTCCATTTTTAAATCCCCGTTAGTGCGGACTCCGTGCCCGCGGCTACACGCGGCACGGAGTAGGTAGTTTGAATTAGGCTTTCTAATTCGAACTACCGTTACTCCTCGTGGAACGAGGTGTACCGGTAGTTCGAATTAGAAAGCCTAATTCAAACTACCTACTCCATGCCTCGTGTAGCAGTGGGCACGGAGTCCGCACTAACGGGGATTTAAAAATGGTGGCGCCCGGCAAGATGCAAATGAAGCCCGGGATATTTAAATCCCGGGCTTCATTTGCAACTTCGAATGACTACATTAACCACCTTAGTTCGAACTAGGGTGGTAGTGTAGACATACCCTCAAGTATCAAAAGAAATTCCCACTGGGATTATGTTTTAGTAAATGAGATGAGAAAATAGTGATTATTTAGTGAGTTACTGTTCGTTATTTGCCTCATTGCCTACAAAACAAGAATATAAGAATGGCCATACTGGGTCAGACCAATGGTCAATCTAGTTTAGTATCTGCCAACAGTGGCCAACACCAGATGCCCCAGAGGGAGGGAACACAACAAGTAATCCTCACGTGGTCCCTTCCCTGTCAGCCACCTCCAGAGAAACAGAAGCTAGGGACACCATTCCTACCCATCCTGGCTAATAGCCATTGATGGACCTAACCTCCATGAATCTATGTAGCTCTTTTTTTAACCCTGTTAAAGTCCAAGCATTCACCACATCCTCTGGCAAGGAGTTCCACAGGTTGACTGTGTTCTGAGTGAAGAAAAACTTCCTTTTGTTTGTTTTAAACCTGTTGCCTATTAATTTCATTTGGCAACCCCTAGTTCTTATATTGTGGGAATAAGTACATAACTTTCCCTTATTCACTTTTTCCAGCTATTACCCGTCTTTCATGTCTTTGAACATCTTGTACATAAAATTCATGTCTTTCAAGGATACTTTCAACTTTTTGATCATTGCTGATGCTGGGATTCTCAAAAGAGAAACTTTCATGTCAATTGCATTACATCTGATATACATTTGTGCTATGTTTCATGGGCTTTCATGCTCCCTGCATGAGTTGGTGCATTCATTTTGCCTCAGGTTATTCATAACTAGAAGATTTACTCAATGCTGCTTGAGTTCCTAACACAAATACAGTTTTTTTCTTCATTTAAATCAGGGGTTCCCAACCTGGGGTACGTGTACCCCCAGGGGGTACGAGAAGGTTGTTAAGGGGGTCCAGGGAATATGTGGTAAATAACTAGATTATCCTAATTGAAATATTCCAAAAGTAGTAGTGTTTAGTGAAGAAACTTGTGGATTCTAGAGTCTAGAATTTATTTCCTTTCATATTGAATGGGGGGGAACGGGAAGGTTTACTAAAAGCCAAGGAGGTACGGGGACCGAAAAAGATTGGGAACCCCTGATTTAAATCATTGTTTGGGAGAGCGGGCTGGGATGAGGAGTTCAGTATTTAGGCTGTCCTGGGAAGAGAGGACAAGCCCAGCTTTCTCTCTCTGCTGCAGCATGGGGTCAAATGAGAAGTGCCTGTCCATAGCTGCTGCAGTGGGCACAGCCCTGGGAAGGTGCATGTCTCATGGCAGGGTGACAGACAGACACACAGAGGCACAAACAGACAAACTCTGAAATATATAGTAGATAGCTGTTCCTTTCTCCACACCTGCCCCTTGCTGGCCCAATGGGGTTCTAGCTGTCCCAGTTCCCATCTCTGGCCCCTTGCTGCCCATCCCCCGTGGTCATTCTAAAGTATAACTTACTTCTATCAGACCCCTCCCCCTTTCCATTTTATGAGAAACAGTCGAATTCCAGGTACGTCCCATTGTCCTGGCACAACCAAACCCTTGCCTTGCTTTAAGTTATGATAAGAGGAAACTCCGTACCAAATGTGGTGGTCCATTTAGGGACTCACAAATGGACAGATAGCCAATGCCAGCCCCGCTGATTGAAAGGAAAGGGGGCAAAGATGGCTTTCTATTCTCCTAACTCAAGGCTCTCCCAGCTGAGTGCACAGAGTAAGGGTGTGTCTAGACTACAGAGTTTTGTTGACAAAACTATACCTGCGTCTACACTACCGCTGAGTTCTGTCAACATAACGTCGACAGAACTCAGCAGTTTTGTCAACGCTGGTAAACCTCATTTTACGAGGCATAACACCTTCTGTCGACAGAGTTCTGTCGACAGAAGGTGTTATTGCCTGTAGGGTTGCGTCTAGACTACAGGGTTTTGTCGACAAAGCAGCTTGCTTTGTCGACAGAACTGAATGTGTCTAGATGCTCTTTGTCGACAGAAGTTTTGTCGACAGATTCTGTCGACAAAACTTCTGTCGACAAAACCCTGTAGTCTAGATGTACCCTAAGAGACAGTCTATTTTGCTTTGCCTGACTTCAGACCGCGAGATGTTGCAAAGGCAAGAATGCCACGTGCTGCTCTCGCGCATGCATGGTCCGGCTCGGCTACGGCTCTGGAAATCTGTGACTAGCAGCGCCGGGTCGGGACCCGACACCTTGAGTGGAGCACCCATGGGGACCACTCGAAGAAGAATGGTTAGTACAAAGACCTGTGAGTTAGGACTCTTGGGGTGTGTCTAGACTACAGGGTTTTGTCGACAAAAGTAGACTTTTGTCAACAAAACTATACCAGCGTCTACACTACCGCTGAGTTCTATTGACATAACGTCGACAGAACTCAGCAGTTTTGTCGACACTGGTAAACCTAATTTTACGAGGCATAACACCTTCTGTCGACAGAGTTCTGTCGACAGAAGGTGTTATTGCCTGTAGGGTTGCGTCTAGACTACAGGGTTTTGTCGACAAAGCAGCTTGCTTTGTCGACAGAACTGAATGTGTCTAGATGCTCTTTGTCGACAGAACTTCTGTCGACAAAACCCTGTAGTCTAGATGTACCCTAAGAGACAGTCTATTTTGCTTTGCCTGACTTCCTGCTTAAACAGGCAAGCTAAGCAACAAATCAAAAGCACTGTTGTCCACCATTAGACTCAGGTCAGTGTGATTTAAGAGTGTCTAGATTAAAATCAACATCTTTCAAATGTAGAATAAAAATCTCAGAGTCCCTCAAAACCTGTTCATTCAGATATTCTGTGCCCTCACATGGCTTACTAGCCTTATGTATTTGTTACTGAACTGAGCCCTATGTGTGGCTAGAGCTATTTTCAAGTATTTGCTCTCTACATCTCTTTTTGCCCAGTCTGCGGAGATGGGGTTTGTGAAGAAGACGAAGGCTGCTCCACATGTCCTGCTGACTGTGGGGAATGCCCACTGACAGCCGATGCCAGGATGGCGATTGCCTTACCCGTATGTGTAGTCTCTGTTGGCTTCATTCTGACAATAGTGGTGAGTATCAAATGAAATCTCCTTCCTCTTCTTTTATTTCCATTGTGGTTCCTTGATTGTTTTATTGTTCACAACATGGCTCTTCACAAGCATAAGAACAGGTTCTCAGCTACACCGAGCATCCCCTGGGTAGTTCCAAGGGGGAAGAAGAGAAATAGGAGGAAAAATTGCTGCTTGATTCTGGGGCCAGTTCTACACCATGCCTGGCAGATTAGATTAGAACAGCCCCATGTTGCTGGAGAATAGCCGTGAGAGACTGTCTGACAGTTGGGATCACCCCTTCCCCATCCCGATTGTCTGGCTGGGCATCCTAGCACCATCTGGGGTCTCTCCTCAACTTCGGAGAGCCAGTCAAGATTGTCTGGCTGGGCATCCTAGCACCACCTGAGGTCTCTCCTCAACTTCGGAGAGCCAGCCAGTTTCCAAATCCTGGGGTTTAGTAGTAACTATTAATTATTTTAATAGACTCACAGGAGGTCACAGAAAGGAGTGAGAGACAGAGAGAAAGGAAAATGATAGATCAATAAGGAAAATGCTTTGTGATCCTTTGGGATAAAAATTGCTGGATAAATATAAGATGATGTATTATTGTTACTTTTGCTATATTTCTTGAGAATAAGCCCTTCTATTGTTTGCATTCATATAGACTCTGTAATTTCTGAACTTTTTGGAAAGCTGTTGCCAGGGAAATATTTTCAGATGTATAGTCCAGCTATTGATTGTGTACATAATGGATAACGTGTTTGGTTTTAGCCTATAAGCTTGTAAGTGCATTGGCTCTTTGTTACGGCAGGGATCGTTTCTCTCCTGACGGGCCCATTGATCATGGGGGTTGGGTACAAAGGAGCCAGCTGCCCCAGGGTCTGCAGATTCCAAGGGGCCTGGGGCTCTCAGCTACCTCTGCTGCTACTCTGGCAGCAGCCGGAGCTCCAGGCCCTTTAGAGCGCTGTACTGCAGGCTCAAGGGATCATGGAGCCAGGCCTCACCCACATGGCCTCAGTGATCCAGTTGGCTCCCCTGCTTCCTGGTGTCACACAGCTGCAGTTGAGACATCGCGAGTGCTCAATCTACCTCCCCCGCGGTTAACTGCAAAGCAATGACAGCAGGATGCTCCTTAAGAAGGTTGGTCTTATGGTTAGGGAACTGGGTTGGTCTTATGGTTAGGGAACTGAGGGTGGAGTTCCTCATTCCTAGGAAAATTTGGGCAAGTCACGGTCTCTGTGTGCCTCAGTTCCCTACATAAAATAAGGACAGAAGGTGCCTCCTTCACAGAGCTCTTGTGAGGATAAATCTAAAATCACAGCCCTGGGAGACACTACCCTGCTGAAGGCCATATAATTAGTAAAAAACCTGTGGCATTGGCTTCCTGTGTCAGATGGCCACAGCACAGAACTCTTACCTTTCAGGTTACAATGCAAGGCCTTTTTGTTCTTGCCAGCTTTGTCTGGGGCAAGAAAGGAATTGCTGGGAAGCGTGTTGAGAGACTGAGTGGGAACTGGGAAGTTATCACTCCTTTTCTGAAGAATATTTTCATGGAAGGAAATTGCTGTTCCATATAAATGTATCCAGAGTCTTTTGGTAGCTGAATATTTCACTTTCTAAGAGAAAACACTCCGTTATAATGAATTAAATAGAAAAGTATCAGTTGGACAGCTGTTAAAATTCATAATATGTTCCAATATCCAATGTTTTAATAGAGACTCGATCCTGCCTGTCTTTCTTGGACAAAACTCTTATCCCCATCAGAGGGTCTGTATGTGGAGTGCAGGATTGGACCTTTGAACTATTGTAGCTAGATGAACATCAGGGGTACGTCTAAACTACATGGCTCCGTCAACGGAGCCATGTAGATTTGTTTTTTTGGCAAAGGCAAATGAAGCCGTGATTTAAATAATCGCAGCTTCATTTAAATTTACATGGCTGCCACGCTGAGCCGACAAACTGTTTGTCGGCTCAGTGCGCTAGTCTGGACACTCCCCTGCCGACATCAAAGCCCTTTGTCGGCAGCCCCGGTAAACCTCATCCCACGAGGAATAACGGGG